ATTTTACTTGAAATGTATAATACATGCAATTTGTTCAGTTGTTCGTAAAATTGAAATACCCATGGCTGTGCATTACCATAATAATGGACGGATCATTATTTCCATAATATAAGACTATTAATCTGCTTTGCATATTATACCCAATTATCCAAGACAATCAATATTATTTTCGATTCGAAACACGATAATAATATGATTAAGAGATAATACTATCGTTCTATTGTTTGTACGTTTATAATAGACTTATAATACCTACCTATATTATAATGATTACTGACCACCTATATATTAATATTATATATATATCTATTTTGGTAGACATAGAATAAATGTTAATTTAGCGTAGTACCTACCTACCTAATTAAGTTTCGATATTGTATTTTAAGTTTTAATTTTTTTCATTTAAGTACTACAGTTATTTAAAGTATGTTTATCGCCACTCATCCTATTGCTAAATTACACAATACACCTATAGAACTTATAAGTTATACCATATTCGCCCACAATTTCAGTATAAAAAAATATACTCTTATACATCTCTCATAGGTAATTACATTAATATTATATAGTTAACCTATGCATTATAATTTATATTTGAATAGTTCAAAATTGTACACGTGGGTATAAGGCTAGAAATCAAATCTTGTAAAACAAGTTAAAATAAATTTAGTTGGCTTAAATAGATTTCATTAGGTACTTATTGTTAAGTTTCTCAGTTCCTTAATTCCTTAGTAGTATCGACTTAGGTACCTAATGATAACAACTTTTACTTCATGATACATGTTCAAAAAAAAACAATTTAAAAATCAAATATCCCAATATCACAACAGTTGCACCCATTGATAAATAATAACCATACATTTATGCCTAAATACGTATCCTTATGGTAGTTGGGTTTCACTCGTATGTTTTTGTTTTTAAGTTTTTTTAAGCAGATAAAGATACCGATTATTTGACGATAAGACAACTTTCTGTAATGACTATTTAATACAATTGCCATTAACTTAACACTAGGTATAGTTTAATTTTTTTTCTCGTATCATACACGTGTGTTTGTGTTTAATTATTTAGTATGTAAACGAGCTTAAAAATAGTATAACCACTTATGAAGCCGTTATTTGAATAACGATTTGTCGGACAATTATTTTTTTTTCAATACCCACCTACCTAATACAACAAAGTAGATACACTTAATCAAATAAAAACTCATTTTAATTATGTTATTTTTGTGTCTATGTTAAAGAAATGTAAGTCTAGTAAGTATATTACGCAAGAGTCAATGTCAACTAATAATAATAGTAGTAATCGAAATAATACCAGCTAGGAACTGTTGCCAAAAAATACTCAGCTCACCCACTGCTGCAAATAGTCAAACGCACGCCCAAATATTTATTCAAACCATATCAATCAAACGAAATTCGTATGCGGACAGTGGTGGGGTGTGATGGTGGGATGGACTTTAAACTTGTTAAAACGCAACAACGAGAGATTGATTGACGGGATGGGCGGCAGCGAGTGTTTTTGAAAATAACCGATTATCTATCAATCGGCGGCGTTACGTTTCCAACTTCAGAATATTATCCTTTGCGTGTACAATAAACAACAACAAAGTAAATTTAAACTTTTTCGGCCACAGCTCTATTAAAAGTTTTGTCCTTTTTTTCCTCTCGCCTTTTTCAAATCAGTTTATTTTTAATTTTCGAGAGGGCAAGAAAAAAATCATTAGACTTCAGCTATAGACGCATATGAAATTATACACTCACGCATTATTTATGTAAGCAGAGACTTCGCTCACAGCCTAATGTCTTTGTCGTGACAGTGACGTACCGCGTTAACGTAAATTCTAAAACCTTTTAAATAGCATAATCCGCTCAATAGCTCTTAATCCCCAAATTGTTGACTATAAAAATATCAAATTGTAAATGCACACGTCTAAAATCGACATGATGATAATCATAAATTTTGAATTGCCTTATTCTTATAGGTACCTACTAGTAAATAAATAAATATATTTTTAAGCTTTACCCTAAGTATATAAACTGCCTACCGTGCATAATAAACATAATAAACTGGACACAATCATTTCCATTCGAACCATGCTTACACAAGATGCGCCTATATGGCAGTAATAATATATTCATACCGTATTCGAGACGTTTAGAGAATATTATAGTTTAATGTTTACCTATATAATATTATTATTACGTTTATGAGCAGACCAGGCTTACACCGCGTTTTGATGAACGACGAATATTATTATTAAATTCCGTTGTCGGATGCGAGGAAGACCCCGCGAGTCGACATCACGCATAATATAATAGACGGCAGTATATAGATGTACAGATATGTTCTGCAAGACAACCACCGCAGTGCAAACTATAAGAGAGCCAAAATCACGGGACTTGCACGTCAAAAGTTTCGAAATTAATCCGTATAACTAACCTACATCCCGTCACACGTGTTTATGCGCTTATGATACAATATGTAGGGCACATATTACACACTGCGTGTGTGTGTGTGTGTGTGTGTGTGTGTGTGTGTGTGTGTGTGTGTGTGTGTGCTCCTACATGTAATACGTTGTCAGATCCAACGTATAGAAACGGAGCAGCGTTGCGAGATCATTTTTCGTTGTGAGATCCACTACCCCAGATCTCGCAACGTTTTCATCAGAATTGTCATCTAAAAGGCAAACTATTATAATTCCAGCTCAGATTTGGCCGGATCTCTTTAAATCATGATTTTAAGATTTTGGTGTGTGTATACATACACCGCTAGTTAATTTAAGCATTTAAAACACACTCGGTGTCTGGGTGAGTGTTTGTATTACGCCTTATGTTGGATCCATATGACGGCAACGTCGCAATTGTTTGTTTGAGTACTATTAGACACGACATAAAGAGATCCGTGAATTATTTACTATTAATCATGATATTATATTTTTTTTTACCATTATAAGACTATTAAAATGTAAGATTACGCACTAACATACGAAGCTCATCTTATGAGATCCAACATTAAAATGATAATATAATCATAATAGTATATTTGAGGTATACTGAATGAGAAATAATTAATAGCCATTATTTATTATTATTATTATTGTGTAGTGGTGTAGCTACGGAATGGGTGTAGGGGATAGATATCAATAGGAGGTTAATACGTAATAATGTGAATTAGCCAGACAAATAAAAATTAAATATAACTATAATAATTCCTAATGGCTAATAAGTAATAACGTATTATTCACCAAAAAATATTTTTAAAGTGTAAGCTATATAGTATAATATTATCATATTATAATAAAATACATGATGAGCGTTATGGGAATTGGGATTCAGTGTACAAACTAAAGGAATGAACTATATCTATATGATTATCAAGAGTACCGATATAACTTACCATAAGTACTATGATATGATGTATTTATGTTAATAAGTATGAAATAATAAAGATTGAAGTTGTAATATGAAAAGCTTAATAGTAAATTAATACATTGTAGTGTAGATTACATCAGGATTTAAAAAAGGATATTCTTATTTTATGAATAAAACACAATATTTTAATTATACTTTTATTTCACATCGCCGCGAACCAGTAGCGGTCTTCAAAACGCGTATCTTACAAGTTACAACTATAAAAACTATAAGAACAAATTACAAAATAATATTCGTACGCGGGTCTTCCTACCTCTGACAGCGGTTGAAAAGTGTCCCCTTAACAAATTAGGATTTTATACATTAGACATATTATACATAAAATGATATATGGAACGCTTAAAACTATATGGAGACATAAGTCCTCTCTGAAATTTTTTCCCACTTTAACCCCTGGCGTACGCACACACACACAATACAATAAATTAATAATTATTATATAACATCCGTCCGGATACGGTCGACGATCGGTCACACTCAATCGATAAGGCCCATCACCAGAAAACCCGCGATTTTATAAATTGATAAATATAAATAATATGCATTTTAGAATATCATTCAGAGATCCGGTGTGTATTGACGTATCGTATACCTACACTGTATGACATTGTAATAAAATATTGAAGTTCAACGTTGGGAGATCCTAGTAAAATAGTAATGTGGCCTTAATAATTGTCTTCGTCTACTTGTCTGTAGGAATCAACTACAACTGCCTACTAACTTAGTACTTAAGGAGATCCGTTATCGGAATTTCGATCGCAGGCCGATATTGGTTATGACACGTGCGAGCAGGTCCTACTACTACGGATAATGATTATTTATAAACAATTACAAATAATTCAAGGACATACTTAGATTATGTGTATAACGCAGCTTATTAATGTACGTTGGATCCCATAACGTATCATTAATTGTAATTTGTAAACGATGTTCTAACTTCTAACATACAATAACTACAAAACAATATATTGGGAGATCCACTCAACGGGCAAAAATAATTCTACCGTTAACCGGCACTCGTCAACGACCAACCGTGGCAACCTCGAACAACCTCAAAACCCCGGTGTACTGCAATGGGCATTATTTATAGATCGTAAATCGTAATGTACAGAATTGGTATTATTTCCTTATCAGTGTTTTTTTTTGGCATTTTCCGTCCATTTTATTAATTTACTAGACTCGTGCATACTGCAGATACCACATAATTATATTGGCATATTGGTATAACTTGCACTTGCACACAAGCATAATATTGTAAAGCCCGCTCCAGTGTTTCACAGTCCCGCGTATTTAATATTTTATTCTTTGTTATTGAGTCTTCGTATAGCTATAGCATGTTCTATAATAATTATTATTATTGTAATATTGTCCTCTCGGCTCTCGCGCGGGAGCGTGTCGTACTCGTACAACTCACTCTTCAGCGTCGTTGATCGCCACTATTCGGTTGAATCGGTGGATACTTGATTGGTTTAACACATTTATATTTACATTAAACTAAATTTTTTATGCATTTACTCGTACACTTATGATACACTCAATACACGCCTTACTTCCATATACACAAATATGGGTAAAAGAAAATTAAAAATCAACAATTCTCACGGTAAGCATTATTTATTTATTTATTTATAATTTAAATTGTTTTACCTACTATTATTTTATTAGAAACAATTAACTAGGTACTTCAAAACAATGTTTTTTAAAAAGTATTTGTTATAATTTAGATTGGGTTGTAGTCCGTTTTGTTGACGATAATATTATTCAACTATGTGCAGAAAAAAGTTTTAAAAAAAGAATTATTATTGGACAAAAGTATTACGTCAAATGGAAAGACGGATATAAATATTTGGCAGAAGTATTAAAAACAGGAAGTAAGTTTATAATGTCTATTAATTAATCTAGTAAATAATATGTTCTTGATTGCTACTTTTTATACCAATTAAGATATTTAGCGATTTCCACAGAACATTCCTTATATCCAATATGCCTAACTTATTTGTTATTTATGTACCTACCTAAGCTACACACATTTTAACTTATACAATTATACATATTAAGTAGTTAGGTAATAGGTACATTATAATGTATTGTTAAACTAATAAGTATGTAATAATATATTATTAACAACATACTATGTGTTTAGGATAATATATAAGATCTAAGTTAAATTCATATATTAAAATTAACTGTTTTTTAAATGCTTGTAGCAATAAAAATATAAAATTTAATTGAGAATAGGAATTACAATTAAACTTTATAAAAGCTCTACACAATAACTTGATGGATGTCAGCAAATTCTCTCTTAAACATTATTGAAGTATTGTAAAAAAAACAACATAAAAACACAGATAACTAATGTTTTTTAACATAAGTTTATTAATATATAAATTCACTCCAATACTAAAATTAACAATGCAAGTTTGTTATGCTGTGTTAGACTCCTCTTTAGAAAATATGTAAAATATTCATAAATAACATTCAATATAATAAAAATTTCAATAGGTATTTCTCTTATTTTTCTCTACCTACCTTACTTTATAACTTCCATCATTACACCTAACATAGTAATTAATATTACTCCATTTTCGTAAATGTTGCACTAAGTAGGTCGTAGGTATTTACTATTTAGTGTTAAGGTAGTTGCAAGGAAAGTTGTTAGTGCCTATTTTTAAATAATAATGTATTTAATAATTTTTTAGCTAAACATGATATGGAAGGTTACATAAACTCAGGACAGTCAACATTTCTTTTAAAAAACGATGACACCTTATTTGACAAAGAATTAAATGTTCCCTTGACAAGAAAAGATAACAGAAGTATATTACCCGAGTCAGAAAAGATCACCGATGATATACATTTACTGAACAGCTTTGAAACTGAAAGTAGGTATCTATAATTAAATCAATTTTAAAGTAGCCAAGTCATCTACACACTTAGGTTAATTTTCAGTAGGCACTATTGCTTTAAATAATATGTATTTTTTTAATCCTATTGTAGCTGCACAACTACGTTTTACAAACTTGATTGATTCTAACGTAACTAAATTGCTTTTGAATGAAGATGATAACTTATTTGATAAAGTAGTACATGTTCCCAAGACAAGCGAAGGAAATAGTATATTACTCGACTCTGAGAAGGTCGTTACTGATGATATACATTTACTGAACAACGTTGAAACTGAAGGTAATTAAAAATATTGTCACTGCTACTTGTGTAATTAAATTGAATAAATATTTATTGTTTTTTTTAATAAAATATATTTTTAATTTAATTTTAGCTATTCAACCAATTTTTAAAAACTGGATCAATTTAAATAATGGATATGATTTAGTTGCAAGTGAAACAGGTATAATTATTTTTATGTTTTAACATAAATATTTTTTAATATATATTTTTATCTATTCATTCTTGAATGTTATATTCTTTTACAGATCAACCACAGAACTCCTTTGAAGACTGGAATTTCGATAAACTAATGCAGAATGATGATCCATACAACTTTGAAAATGAGACAGGTATTTTAGTTTATAAATCTTATCATCTCAACTCTTCACACTTTCACAGTTTTCTTATATTTACAAACCACTACAAAAATATTTTTGTAATTATTATACATACTACTATACCTAATATAAAAACAAATATGTTTATAGTTTTCGATATTATAGTCACTGTTCTAAAGTGTGATCTAGCTGATAGGGATATAATATAATAATAATAGTAATAATAATTTTTCAAATAGTTAATATATAATATGAATAAAAAGGTGCCAATGCCCAATGGTAGTTATATGATAGATAAATCTAGGAAAAAAAGCCCAGGACAACATTCATTGGAAAAAAAGCCCTGTACCAACTAAATACATTATTATTTTTTATTATGATTTACATAATTAAATGCGATCATAATATAATCATTACATTAATCTATATACCATAAAATATATAATATTCTAAAATACTAGTTTAATATTTTGTAAATTAATAAATTGTTAAAGTGTTAAAACATAAATGTTAACAATTGTTTTTCATTAGTTATTAAATTAATTATTATATTATTAGGTATTATATTATTATCTAATTTAATATTTATTATACTAGACAAAACATTTACCTACTATACTTTAATCTCTTATATTTCAAAATATTTATTATATTATTTTATTAAATATTATTATGATGTAAAATTATATACTATACATATATTATATATATATATATATGGTTATAGAATATACCTATGTCCAAAAGAGGTTAGGTTGCCTATATACAAACATTAAATTATAAAATGTACTCTATAATGAAAATGCGTTATGAATTTAGTTAATATGGCTTTATTTTCCTATAGGTGGGGCTTTTTTTCCGAATACCTAATAGATATAGGTAAATTATAATTTATTTTGTATGTTAACAAATTATTATGCTTTTGAGATATCTTGCTGATCTAACATGTAGTAGGTCGTTTATATAAGTAAGCGTTTTGTTAGGAGCATACATTTATAGAACTAAAAACATGATAGCTTTTTTGTACTTAAACTTAAAAGAATAGTTTGTTGGTAAGACATCTAATTTTTTCATATTTTTAAGGATAAATATTATTTTTTATAATCACATTTTTCTTATAATCAACCATACAAAACTTGAACAATTATTCATATTTCACTATATTTTGGAAAATAATATTTAATGACATATATTTTGTTTTTTTAGTGGATATCTTAACATCTGAAAGTAACCAAAATTCAAAAACCAAATACAATGGACTTAGACCTAAAAAGTCTTGTGTCTTGAAACAATCATCTTACTCAGAAAGTTCGGTGCACTCTGATTATGATTCAGAATCTGACTATTTACCACCAAATATAAATTTGAATTGTGATTCAAGTGATGAAATTTCTTATAAGTCAGACATCAATATAGATCAGCTTAATGACATTCATTATTCCGATATATCTCAGCCATCTACTTCACATACTACATTAAATCAAAAAGACATACTCAATAATGAAGTCATAGAATCAACTAAAATACTTAAAAAGGGATATAGATTTAATGGTTTAGTTGAGACTTCAAAAATCAAACAAATAAGTAATAAAAGGTCTTGGGATAAAACAACTAATTGTATTTATTGTGAAAAAAATGTAACCAATTTTACAAGGCATATTATAAGGAATCATTCTATGGAATTTGAAGTCGCTCGGTACCTTTCACTACCTAAAGGTTCAAATGAAAGAGTTGAACTTGCTGACAATATACGGAAAAGAGGTAATTTCTTATGTAATGTTGGAGAGGTAGAAGTTATCAAACCAGTCAGACGTCCAAATGAGTTTTCTAAAACAATTCCTGATGCCTCAAACTATTTACCTTGTAAACACTGCTATGGTATGTATAAAAAAAAATATTTGTACCGTCACGAAAAAAAATGTAAAAGTGCTAAGACTAAACAATTGGGTAGAAATAGAGCCCAATCAAATGCTCAAAATCTTTTACTTGCATTTTCAAATACAGACCAAGATTTAGTGACAAAAGTATTTCCTAGAATGGCCGTAGATAATATTTCATTTGTAGTAAAGTCTGATGAATTGATCAAAGCGTTTGGGTCGAGATACTTGAAAAGCCACAGAGAAAAGCACCTTGTTCATGTTGTCACTCAAAAAATGAGAACGCTTGCACGTTTACTAATTCAGATGCAGTTAGAATACCCTTCGATAAAAACGTTACAAGAATGTCTAGTACCAAAACATTTTGACCTGATTGTCAAATGTACTAAAGCTGTTGCAGGATATGATATTTCAAAAGATTTATATGGAGCTCCTTCCGTTGTCTTGAAAATTGGAAATATGTTAAAACAATGCTGTGATATTGCTGAATTTACTTTATTAAAACATTGTAATAATTTGACACTTGATGAAGCACAATCCAGTACGCAAAAGGCAATAATAAATATGAGGTCCATTATAGAAAAACAATGGTCTTATGAAGTCTCAACCAACGCCTCTAAAGAGATATTACAAAAAAAATGGAACAAGCCTGCTTTTCTTCCATTAACATCTGATATACAATTATTTAGAAACCATTTAATTCATGTACAAAATGTAAGTATACAAGAGCTTAAAAATAACCCTAATGATCAAAAATCTTTTAAAAATTTAGAAGAGAGCGTGCTAGCTCAACTTATTTTACTTAATAGAAGAAGATCGGGAGAAGTTCAGAGATTATTTATCAATACTTATTTAACAGCACCAACAGAAATATCTCAAGAAGAAATTGATTTATCTTTATCCGAAATGGAACGCCAGCTCACCAAACAATTAAAAAGAATCGTCATACGGGGAAAAAGAGGTCGCGGCGTGCCCATTCTTTTTACTCCAACATTACAAAAAACTATAACATTTTTACTCAAAACTAGAGAAGTAGTTGATTTTATCGATGAAAACAACCCATACTTATTCGCACTGCCACATTCATTAAACTGTATAAGAGGTTCTGACGCAATACGAAAACTAAGTGTCGACAGTGGAGCAAAAAATCCCGAAAACCTCACATCAACTAAACTACGGAAGCAAGTAGCTACAATCGCACAAATTTTAAATTTATCTGATGGTGATCTTGAACAACTATCCACATTTCTTGGCCACTCCAAGGATGTACATAAACAATTTTATAGGTTGTCAGAAAGCGCCTTCCAAGTAGCTAAAGTTAGCAAATTGTTATTGATGTTGGAGAATGGGCGAGGTCAGGAATTTCGTGGAAAAAATCTCGATGAAATTAATATAAATGTTGATGCATTAGTATCTGATGTTGAAGATTATTCATCAGAAGATGATAAACCACTTGAAAGTCAGGATGCAAAGAAAACAGTTGAAAATGTTGAAAATGTTCAAATGAAAAAAAAAATCTCTAATAAAATTAAATCAGTGCCTCTTCCTAAGAAAAATTTGCTTCCAGATTCTAAGAAGTTTATAAGGGTGCCTTGGACAGAGGCAGAAAAGAAAGTGACAACAGAATACTTCCAAAAACATATTTTACTTAACAAAGTACCAAAAAAAGAAGAGTGTGATAACCTTAAGAAACAATTTCCTGAAATAATGATAAACAAACCATGGAAAAAAATTAAAACATTTATACATAACATCAACAACCATAAGTAACTATTTTATCTTTTACTACTATTTTCAAATTTTTATTTATTTTATTTGAAAAAGTCTTTCTTTTTATGATTAACTATTTATTTGGTACACATTACATAAATTACTCACACTATACATTTTTATTGTTATAAAAGCTGATGTTACTTTTTTTTTTTATTAAATTGAGGTTAATAATAAATTATAAAAAGTTAAAATTAATTGTTTGTTTCTAAAATACTACCATCTTACTAACTAGTTGTAAACATTGAAAGGTAATCAATACTATTGATTATAAAATATATAGTCAGTGCTTGAAATGGAAAAAAATTAGAATGGGGTGCAAAAGTTTAAAACAATCTGCATACATACTCAAATATAATTATTATATAATTAAATAGGATTTAAAGAAATAAGTTTCACATAAAATTATGTTACAGTTAGTTTTGGCCTAGTATAATTATTATGCTCTCCTGTACAATTTATTTTAAAAAATAAAAAATCTTGATAGTGTACACAGTAGGTAAACTTATTATTTGATTGTATAATTAGTGATTATTGGCTATTGCATGGTTTGGCAACGTTGTATGGATCTAATAAAGTGCTTATACAATCAATAAACATACTTGTAGATCTAACAAAGTGCTTTTACAACTTATGAACATACTTGTGGATCCCACATGCTGTGTTATTTCTTCCTATACACACTGGATCCCAGAAAGATTTAATAACTCCTTACATTATCATGAGTGTATTGTGTAAACTAATATTACATTAAATATAAAATAATATTTTACAGTTTTAGCATTTGGTCCAAGGCCCTAATACCTAATATTTCTTATGGATCCCATAACGTACTGCTTTACTTACGGATCTCCTAATATACGTTATGTATGTCTGTGTGTGTGTGTGTGTGTGTGTGTCGATTTGATGTATTGAATAAATCATTTATATTGTAAATACGAATACTCCGTCATGATATCAGATTAATAATACGCGTGTATAATTATTATAATGCATAAAATACACGGCTAAAACTATAATATACCATCGTGAACTTTCTGTATATTATACGTTTCACCGCACGCGCGCATTACACGGTATGGTTATAACATTAACTGCGTTATACAATTCATTACCTCTGTGATCGGTACACGTGGCAATGGGTCCTGTGTGCGCATAAACTTTAAGATGCCATTGCAGGATTCGTAATATTTCAATTCGTCCTTATTCTGCGCGTCTATTGTTATTTAATGATACACGACCCGCCGGGTTGTTATATTATATCACCTAAAAAGTGATTAAATAAATGTGCAGGGTTTTAAAACTTTTAAAATGGTACGTTCCTAACATAATACACAATGAAACTTCATGGTATACATAATAATATGTACAAACTCGTAAACCGTTTTAACACAATAGTTTAGGAGCATGGGAATAGCTTGCATTTAATTTGTTTCCATAAATGCATTAAAATATGTAATAAATAGTAAATAAAAATGATTGGATAGTATGCGTAAAAAAATAATATAACTGCACCTAACATGTACGTGTAGTTTAATTTATTATACTTTTATCTATATATTACTACACTATACACGCAAATGATGTAAAAAAAAAATAAAAAATATACGCACATTGGTGAATTACAAAAAGATAAATAAATAAATATAATATTATAATAATGAAATTGTGGAAAGAAAAGAAAGATAATAAAGATAAAATAGTAATAAAAAAAAATAATAATAATAATGTGGATGCAACGTTAAAAACATTTTTATGGATCTACAAATATCAAAACGTTATTTTCATTATGTTGTTTTAATACAGGAAAATGAACTAGGAGCAGAAGACTAAAGAATACTCTAAAATGTTTCTTTAGTAGTGTGACCATATACATTTCAAGTGAATATAAACCAATACAAAAATATACACATTTTCAATAGCGTTCATATAAATGAGAGAATAATTTGAAAACTCAAAGAAATAATAGAAGCAAAAATCCAAACAAGTGTAACAAAACTCAATATGAGATGACAACGTAAAATACCTACTGAAAAAAATTAATAGCACTTAAATTGTTAAGTAGATTATAAAATCAGTAAAAAAAACGTATGAATTAATAAGTTACAATAAATATTACATATTACATAATATATACAAATACGTGCAATGGTACACCAATAAGTGCAATAGCATATTGTAAATATATTAATATTTGAAAACCTTATGTGGTCGTTTGATACATTACAATTAAATTGTTTTCTGACATTAAACGTAATATGACTGAGCACGTGACGATCGTTATTTTACATGTATATTGTATGTCAACCATAAATAATAATAATATCAAATTAACACTAAAATATACAATGAGAAACCTTCTTTCAGTAAACCTAAATTATTGTGTAAAGATACTGTAATAATAAAATAATAAAAAGTAAATAGTTGTTCTTTTTTATAATCCTTATTATTTCCATACATTTTTAATTTGACTCTTATAATATACATTATACTTGTTTTGATTTTTAATCAAAACTATAAAAGTAGCTTAATCTTAAGCTTGTTGGTTTTAATACTCAATCTTAGTCACATTTACTCTCTGATTTTCATTTGTTCCTTAAAAATTAACAATAAGAACTATATAAGACGCCGGGCCAATATTATAATAATAATAGTAATTTAAAATTAAATCACAGTACTTATCTTATACTAATCCTATTTTTATCCTATTTTACATACCTAACTACACCGTTCATTTAGGCAATATAAATATTTGCTAAAAATAAAAAAACCTACACTATGACATAATTTAATAAGTTGCCTAAATTGAAATTGAACTATACAAACGTATGAAATATTATTATTTCCTGCAGTTGTAGTTAAACTAGTTCCAATTGCTATATTAATATAATAAATTCGTTTAAGCTCTACTAATACGGATAATTTTCAATATTTAATTTTAATACCGTTTAATCGCTTAGTTGTACTATCACAGGCTACAGTAAAGACAAATAATATCCCTAATATGATTTAGGCCAAATAACAACACATGAAAATAAATGAACTCCACGATAAGATATACTAAATCCTTACTGCCTGCCCTACCTATCAACCGTCTACTTGCTTATAGCTCTGCAGCGAAACGTTAAAGATTAGAATAATGTTAAAATATACGTACAAATATGAATAAGATGTAAGGTTCAAGTCAATATATATTTTAAGAGAAACATTCATTATTTTATGTAAATATTTAAAGACATGTTTTATTTGGAAATACATGGAATATTTTAAACGATATTATTTAAAATGTAAGTACCAATCTCATATAATACACCAATTACAAATGCATGCTTATCACGCTATTAGTTCACGAAAATTTGCACGTTTACCGACTAGATGAGGCAGTAACATTGTTTTTTAAAACAAACGTAAAAAAAATTAATCAATATTATACGTATCACTGTATCAGACACACTCGACCAGAGTGAAGTTCAGATCCAATAGGTATATTATTATGTTAATTAATCTGGTAAATTATACGACATAATATACATATTGTGTACATTTTTAAAATACGAGTCTCGCTGTAATTTATACATTTTCAAACTGATTGCATTAAAAGTGTACTGTTTGGTACTAAACAAAGTGAAAACGCGCAAAAGGTAAACATGCAAATTTGTCGTATAAATATTAATTGTTATCAAAACAGTTTTAAAAATTTATTGCCCTTACATTACACACCAAAGCATTGTACTTTCATCGATCGAAAAATAAACACTTGTGGTCAAACTTTTCGACCCCTGGGAATTTTTTCTCCTCGCCAATCGCTGTGAACTTTTAGATTAATCACATAGGTAATAATATTATAATGTATAGAATATAACAAAGTCATATTTTAAATTTGTATTTATTTTTTAAATAAAATTAAAACAAACATCACTTGAACGAGACCTGTACAAAATAGGTAATTTCAGCATATTCGAAACATATACATCCAGAAGTTTGTCACCAATAAAAGCCGAGTCAAACTGTACCTCTCTATATACAATATAAAGTGGTGTTTATAAGATGACACATTCGTGATTATTCATCCAAGAACATTCTCCGCTTTGGCTCTCTACTTCTAAGGTTTTGCTGAGAGTCAATTTTACGTATACGTTTACTAAAAGCAATATATGTTTCTAGCATCAATTTTGACGAGGTCTGCAGGAAACGTTTAATTACGTGTGCAATCCTATAAAAACAAGCGAATTGGGACATTTTTTTTTTTTATAGTCTATTTTTATACAAATACATTTTATATACTTTCTATAAGTATATTACTATCATCAATATTATTATTTAAAAAATATATATGTATATAATTTAGTATAATAAACCTCACGGAGCGTAGGATTTTTTTAGTCACAAAAAACTTGATAAGCTGCGTCAATTTTCTAACTTTTAGACACATTGGTGGTTTATCGGATCAAACTAATGAGTATTCCGCATGTATTTTTTTTTATCATAAATATTTGTCCACTTATCATGAATATAGACTTTCATAGAACAATTATTTTACCCCAGTCGTGATAAACATTGATGAGAATATATCTAAAACAAATTTAAAAAAACAAACATTTATAATCATTTATAGTCACGTGTATATCAAATCAGTGGCACCGAACTTTGAACCTATACATTTCAAAATATTACATTTTGAATTTCTTCTAAGTAAGTAATAATTTAAATAACAAGACTACTGACATTAGTTTAATAAAATGAAAAAATAATTTATAATACTTGTCTTCTATGCATTACTATATGTACCATTTATTGTTTTTTTCTTGGATTCTTCTCAAAATCTTAGTATTCAAATTAATTTGAAAATTAAGTTGTTACTATCTAACCCAAAAAACGTTTGGTACTTTTAAATATATTGATTAATTGTGTGGACCTTTTTGACCCACAAACTAACAATTATCATAATACTATGATTCAAGTGTCCAATAAACTATTTAAGTAATTTAATTTCAAAGCTAAGGCAGAATTCGGCTCCACTGAAAATTGTTATCTTAATAAAATAATTTTTCTAAATATACGATATAAAACATTGCTAGTTGTTTAACTAAGAACTAAACAATACATGCCAGTGTATTATATGAGTTGGTTGTACAATTGATTGATTTTATGACTAATATTACGTAGTTAATATTATGGTGTATTTCAATACCCATGAAATATCCTATTTTCTTTATTAAATAAGTACATACGTTTATGACAAAAAAAGTAAACACTGAGCACCTACTTATGAAATAGGGAGATGATTTTTTCTTGCCTTTCTTAAACGGATTCAATAACTTTGTTCAAGTAGATATTCTTATTTCTTACTTAGATAAGTAGGTATAACTATAAAATTGTAAGTTAAATGTTAATACATAGTAACGAATTAAGTTTATGTTTAATAGTTAATACGAATAAATGTATACATAAATATATAATATAAAGTATATACTTGTACTAAATAATTATAAAATAGAATATCATATTGTTAATACGACTAATATACGCGATTAGTATACTCAAAATATTTACTTATGTGTTTGGTTTAATTTTAATTTTTATATTTTTTTTTTATATGTAGTTTGATGACTATTATATACTTTAAATATACTACTCATTAAACTTAGGAGACTAATTTATTTTATTTTACAAATATCATTCATTTAGTTTAAATAGCAATTATACATACCTACGTAATATGAATGGGAAATAAAAATATTACTTTTTTCGTGGTAGTTTCCTTGTAAATCATAATTCATAACGATCAGAATCGGTATCTCTATTTTCATATAATTGTAAATATTTAAGTCGTTTTTAGCATACTCTTTAGATATATTGTACCAGCGAGTTCTAAGTACTGAGATGAACCTTCCTAGTATTTGTTTATCAGTGCAAGATAAAAAGAAACCATTTTCCTTCGAAATCGAGACATAGTTCAATTTTACTTAATAACTCAAATCTGTAAACTTAAACCTGCTTTTGCAAAAAATATATGAATATTTTTTTAGAATTTATATTAATGAAAATATAATACTACAATACAATTTCATTTTACCCCTTTTTTTATTAGTATAAAATGCTGCTATACAAACTTATTTTTGTATTTAATATTTAAAAAATAATTTGATAATAGAATAATTGATAATACACCTACTGTTTAGTTTCAAATAATATCTTTTTACGTTCCCATATTATATTCCCATATTCTATTAATTGAGTCTTAAATTCTGAATCAAATTTCTTTAGACCAAAAATTAATTGTCTTTCACATTGTAACATATAAAATGTTAATAATAAAAAGAAAACGGTTAATTTATTTTAATTTTCATCAATAAATCTTATAAACTATGTTATATTCATAATATTACATACACACATTTTTTAATTTTTTAATTATTCAGTTGTTTCACCTAACTTGTATATTTTATTTTCTAAAGCTAAATTAGTATTGTACGTACCTACCTATTTTATCTGTTTTACGTATATAAACCGTATAACTTTATTTTAACTATGAATGTAGTTCGGTGAGACCTTAAGGGGAAACTCTAAATATTTTTTTCACTTGAAAAATAGAATAGGTTTTTTTAACATTACGTTTGGTGGGCAATTAAGTTTGAGCTTTATTGTATTAGTATAAGTTATAGGTTATAATATTGTTTCCTAAATAAATATACAGTTAAAATATTTATAACTACTTTCAAGATTAATGCAAATAGCGTCTTTATTCATAAAATACATTTTAATATGGGAACACTTATGTATTTTTTTCAAAAACTACATTAGATTTATTTGTTTTGGTAATTTATTAAAGAATTCATAAATTATTCATTTATTCAGTTAGATTATAGTATACATAATAACCTACTACAGTAAATTATAATTTCCTTATATTATTTATGTTTTGTAATTCGTAATTAAAAGTAACCAAAATCTTTCATTATTAATATTTAAAACTAACAATACATATTATAATATTTTGTAATCATAATTAATTAATAATGGCAAAAGATATAATTGTATTTTACCTATCTGAAAACATTTAATTATACCTAATCTAGAAAAATATATTGTGATTATGTCACGAACCCAATACAATATTAACTATTGTTGCTTTGTTTATTAAATACATGTTAGTCTCTTTTTGACTATATTATAATGTTAAAATTAGTACCTACTGATAAAAATGTAAGTAAATATTTATACTTCATGTTTTACTTGTACACACTAATAATTATGTAGCTATACTTATTCGCCGAACGAGGGAAACGATAAATATTAAGACAGCTCATCCACTATCATACAATATGTTTTTATTACAAACTAAATAACACAACATTATAATATCAATATTAACATGGAGAAATATCTACGCTTAAAAGAAGCATCGTTTTATACATTCTACAGAACAATATTATTTATTTGCGTAACCTATTTTATTTTGAATTCATACATTTTCATCATCAGCACAAATTGATTCTGAAATGTTTTCGCCGAATACCAAAAAATAGTTAGTACTGATGTACCTACATTATATTATTGTGTGTCCAATACTCCAATATAGTAAACATTGATGACTACAAATGATATTCATATTTTGGTCGATCACACAAAATCTAGAAATCGATGGTTTATATTACCTAGTTAACCAAATGAATTAAAAAATAAAGGTTCACGAAGACTGGAATTTAATAACGTGGTAAGTGCCAACAGTTAAATATATATTAATATATTAATAATATTGTTCATACTAACTGTGCAAATAACAAATAATACATTCATAATTTTTAATTTTACTAAATATTTAATATTTTTCATTATTAGTTTTACTTTTCCTTAATGCAATAATATTAATTATGAATATCTTTTATGAAAACCCAGGTTAACCTAGTAAAGTGTGATTCTTATCAGCGTAAACTATTAACTTCTAAATTTATAATACCTACATACCTACCTAATATACATAATTATAAACAATTATTTGGCAATCAGTGATATTATGTCAAATTGATTAGATTCTCCTATAGGTAATACCAATAACTATTAATACCCTAATCTTACGATACTCTATCCCTAATGTTTATGTTATCCTGTCTAAAGAAGTTAACTTTTTTATATACAATGTTTAATTTTAATTTGTTCAAATTGTATGATTTATATCATGCCATCGTGTTTGTCACATATGTTTGAGTTAATATTTCCCATAGAAAATAAACATAATATGGTGTCAATATAATAATTATAATTTACTTTTAAAAATTCAGTTCAATTTACTCGAGGACAGCCTCGTGATCCAATCAAATAATTTATCATAATCCTTACTGTATTATAGTATGTCTTTTATATTTTAATGTATCTAGTTGGTTATTCATATAGGTTTAAAAAGTGTAATACCTATTATCTAGCATATAATAGTAAGTATCAATATCTTAGAAAGTTTAAACCACATGAAACATTTCATATATTTAAATTAAATAGTTGTGAATTACTAATGATTTATGAACTATAATATAATATTTGTTTTTAATAGATCATATATTTTCTGTGTCATAACAAACTTGAAAATATTATGACAGTTAACTCCAAACTCAAATCTATAAAGTTGGATAAAAAAGAGCCAAAAAGTAAGATTACAAAACAATATAAGTTGGTTCTCACATCTAAGTATAAGAACAATAAAAACCAAAATAATTTAACACAATTCATGGAAAAAAACTAAACATTAGAAAAATACACCTTAGGTACCTTAGGTTAACCCTTTAGGTTCCTTAAAACTTCTCTGCAAAATCGAGAGAAAAAACAAATTAAAATCATAAAACATATATACTTATATACATTTTAAAATTAAGGCTTATATTATTAAAAACTTTATAATAAACTATTATAGATGGGCATATTCTACATTTCAACAAACTATTAAATTAATTTTATAGAAGTTTTTTTAATTAAATAATAATAATTGGCAGATTGTCAAAAATAATTAATATTTGTCAAGTTAATTAATATCATACATCATTATATTTTACAAGTTATGTATAAAATACATAATAATTAAATACATATAGCTATAGTGCACGATATCGCATCTCCAGCAAAAAGCTACCTACATTAATAAAGACCTTTTCAAATAACTATACTTGACAAAGTTTTCTCATTATCCCACGTCTATTCTGGGTGAGGGATGTTTTTGTGTTTGTTTAATGTTTGATATTTTAACTTATATGGTAGGTAATACTAAGCTTTAATCTTTATTAATATATCTTTTATAAAACGTCTGGTATATTTAAGACAAAAACAAACATTAATATTGTTTAAACATAAACATTTTATGGCAATTAAATTAATTGCAAAAACAATTCTATACCAACCTACTCCGAATCAATTTAAGACAATATTTGGGTTTACGGGTTAATCAAAAATACAATCATACAAAAAACCGATATTTCATCAATTGTAATTTATTACTCAATAATACCTATATAATCTATTCCACAATGTATTAATGGACATTAACACATAATTAATTTATATCTGAATATATTTGTTTGTGTTTAACCTTATTATTTTTTTTCATATTCAACAATACAAACATAATTTATTTAAAAATATTCCATCACTATATATGTTTTGAACTAAGTATGTAATATAATATTATTTTTATTTTATTTTAGAGTTACTCAAATCTACTAATATTCATTACCAATTACGCATTACTTAGCATTGTTATACCAATATTACTAAACTATATTATATCGTGTATAGGTACTTACAAATTATCACGGTATACTTCTAAGACGTAATAAATAATAAGCATAAATCTTCATCGTACCACAATTAATCAAACATAATCAATCCACTACTTATAACGCGAAATTGTGTCATTATTTTAGACCTACAACACGCTAAGATTTAAACGGTATCATAATAGTTACTAGGTGAAGAGTTGATACTTGAGAATACCATATACGAAATATAATTTTCCATATTAATAATAAAGCAATATAGTATTAATATCTGGTAACCTTCCTATACCAAACTACATCATGAAACAAATTAATTTGATTTAATATTTATAAAGTGATACAATATAATATTGTAGGTATTGTGTAAAAAAACGTAGGCTCTGTTATTTTATGTTTTTTTATTAACATTAATTCATATTTCGTTACATTCCTTTCAGTAATATATAACATCAACATGTAATTTTTAGAAAAATTAAAGTGGAGTTAAATTAATAAAAACTATAAATAGAAGTTACAATATGCAACAGAACATAAAACTATTTAACTCCGCAAATAAATATAAAGCAGCACGTCGAGACAAATATTTAATAGCGAATTTTTTTAAGCGGACAAATATATCGATAAGTTTGCTTTTTTTTAAATTGAAACTA